TGTAGCGATCCAGTCAGTGAAACGACAACTTGACGGGTTTCTTTTGTAGCTTGCTTTTTATTCACGAGAGCGCCCGAGGCGAACCCAACGCTTGAGCTCAACTCTCACCCTGAACTCCGAAACTTCCAGAACCTTTTCCCCCAGACTCCACCCACACACGAGTGCGCAGACTCGTTCTTCAGAAGAACACCCACCCCTTAAAGACCCCATGCAAAAAGAACACAAAACATATGAACCGAACATATTTGACTTAAATCACACCTGACAGCATAACACACTTTTTCAAACTTGCTACAATACATAAGATCTTTACATGACACTTCCTTTCAGAGCATTTTAATGTGTCTTTTATATGTTTGTGTGCAGGATTTATGCGTGGAATGCCAATCGTCTGTGGAAGCAGAGTGCAGGCGCCTTCACTTGTGTTGTTTCTTAAAGGGGTCATATGATGCTGCTAAAAATAACATTATTTTGTGTATTTGGTGTAATGACGTGTTTATGCGGTTTAAGGTTAAAAAACACATTATTTTCCACATACTGTACATTATTGTTTCTCCTCTATGCCCCGCCTTTCTGAAACGTGTCGATTTTTACAAAGCTCATTGGTCTGAAAAGCGAGGTGTGCTCTGATTGGCCAGCTATCCAGTGCATTGTGATTGGCCGAATACCTCAAGCGTGTGACGGAAATGTTACGCCCCTACCATAATGTGATACCACACGTGACGACCCTGGGCCGGACTCGCTTCGTCCACGGTGATCCACAGCGCAAAGTTGGTGTATTCCCTCAGCGACCAGCACGGATCAGATCCAGACATGACGAATCGGATATCGTCCTCTTTTGGAAGACCAAACAAAGTAGTTTCGCTTTCACAACGAAGCACACAGCGCCTTCACGACATGGCGGTGGCGGCAACAACAATACTACAGTGAGAATAAAAGTTACACCTTCTTTCTTTGCGTGAACATTTGGGCGGCGTTATGCAAATCTTCCCACATAGTGATGTAGACATGTGGGGGCGTGTTAGAACGAGCCGTTTTAGGTAGGCGTGGTTAACTCTTAACTTTTATAAAGAATATCTCTTTGGATTTGAGACTTTAGTCTTTGCAACTTTACAGATCTTCTTTATGCGCCAAGAGCTTGTAACACTCCAAAGAGAAAGGAAAACTTGAAATCGCGTCATATGACCCCTTTAATGGAACTCTCCTGAGCTCTCGCGGTCACGTGCTCGTCGCGGAAGTTCCCGCAGCACGTACAGCTCGCTGTCAAACGCGGAATCCAGGCAGATATCAGTTCACATTAACGGACAGTAAAGCCCGAAATAAACCACGGCATCGCGCAGGACAATGGGATGAAATACATCCGGAACCTGAGCATCGCGGATCTGTGTTTGGCGAGATTTAAGGGCGAAATATGAAAGCTACGTACTAGCCAACTGCTCATGACACATTAACAACACAAGAGTTTCAGTGTTTCCTTGCGTCTTTTTGGACACGGGACTCTAGAAGGATGGAGTGGGACAATTCTGGGACATTTGACAAGAGTCAAGCTGGTTAACAGAGACGTCAACCATCTATATAACTGTTGTGTAGCAGTGGCTTTCTTATATTCTGTTTGTTAACTATTGTTCTGTCAACTGCCAGCAGATTATACAGTGGCCAGGGTGTTTTAGTTTCTGTTTGATCATTTTGGGTGATTTATCTACGTGTGTTTGGTCGACCATAAGAGCTCCAGTATGCATGACGCATACGAACCAGTTCCTATCCTGGAGAAATTACCCCTCCAGATCGACTGTCTGGCGGCCTGGGGTGAGTTCTGCTTCCCTTCCCTTCAGCTCCCTTCGTTAGACACCTTTAACACTCATATGGAGTGTCGCTGTTGTTGATAATAACTGTGTGTCAACAACATTTCTTTAGCCGCATACATGGTATGGGCGTCTAGTATTTATTTTTTTAATTTTTTATTTATTTAGTCACTTAGCAGACACTTATCCAAAGCGACTTACAAATGAGCACAATAAAAGCAGTCAAAACTAACAAAAGAGCAACAATATATAAGTGCAAATGACAAGTCTCGGTTAGCCTAACACAGTACACATAGCAAGGTGTATATATATATAGATACATACATACATACACACATATATATATACACATACATATATACATATACACACACATATACATATATACATATACATACATACAAACAAACAAACAAACACACACATACATATATATATATATATATATATACATATACATATACATATATATACATACACACACATATACATATATATACATACACACACATATGTATATATATATATATATACATACACATACACATACATACATATATAGTATTTCTACCTAGACAGATTTTATTGGTCAATATGTATCGAGTTTGTTCTTGATATACTTCTTGATTTTGCATGTTTCTGAGTCAGCTGACCAGCTTCTTTTTTTGCCAGGCAGCTCATCAGCTCGTGAAACAAAACCAGAGAAAGGACATTTTCTGGTTTTGTTTCACGAGCTGATGAGCTGCCTGGCTAAAAAAGAAGCTGGTCAGCTGACTCAGAAACATGCAAAAGCAATGTCTAGTTTGACAGATCAGCAGGTTTTGAGTCATGGCCAGAGAAAGCACAACTATTCCACGATCTGACTGAACAACAGATGTTTGATTAGTTAAGCAGCTCTCAAGGTGTTGGAAGTGTAGTATGACTGTAGGTGTTTAGACTAGACTCCAGCAGGGAACTGAAAGTTCAGTAAAGTACAGTTAAACCAAGTGGTTATGAGGTTGGCTTGTACATCTACGTATTGAGGGTGTGTGATTATTAGAGCCATGTTAATCAATGTCTTCTACTAGATCACACAAGGAGTATTTTAAGGTATCTTAGGTCAGTAAATCTCAACCTTTTGGCGTACCGGACCCCAGTCCAATTCAGAAGCATCCTCAAGGACCCCCAGAACAAAATTGACTCGTATCATTTGTGTCTTTGTGAGGACCAAATGCAGTCAAGTATAATTCAAGTTAGCTGACTTGTCCAGTATTTGGCCATATCATCAGCTATATTGGATTTTTCTTTCATGGGAACATGTCATGTCAAAATATACAACATTTATACAAAAACTCATACTTTATACGGACCCCCTGGCCTTATGTCATGGACCACTATGTTGAGAAACACTGTCTTAGGTCAATCCATCTCAAGTGGTCCGGTAAAGTAAAAGTGAAACTTTGCGCAATCTTGAACATGACATTTGAATATGCAAAATATTTCCGTATGTTCATGTACGTGTGCCCTGAAATGTGCTCTAGAGATCAGTTTTTGTCCCAAAGAGCTTGGACCATACTTAGCTGAGATATTAAGTTTTCCGTAAACGTCCAACCAAAGTTTTTTGTGGGCCAATAAATAAATACAATTAGACAAAATAATAATAAAAAAAACATTTTGCATTACCAATACATTGAGGTAATCAGTAAATAAATTAATAGATAAAAAATGGTCAAGCAACTTGAGAATGTTTGGACCTGTAAAACTGACCTTCTTAATTCTGAATTATACTGCAAAACTAGTTCCATGAACTTATTTGTAAAACTTTGCCGATAATTGTACTGTGTTTGCAGATGATTGGCTCCTTGTGGGGACCAAACCAGGCCATCTCCTTCTGTACAGGATCAAGAAAGATGCAGGTGCGTAGTTTTGTATTTGCATCTGTGCTTGTATTTAGCATTAATCTTTTGTTGAATTGATTATTCAAGTTTAAGTGATAATCTTTTTTTTTTTAAACACAGGTACAAACAGGTTTGAAGTTACTTTAGAGAAATCCAATAAGAACTTCTCAAAGAAGATCCAGCAGGTATACACAGATGGATATTAGTCGACCCAAATTTAACCATTATGTTGTTCCATTGTGACGTCCATGAATAATACTTCACTTTAGGCCTGTTTCTCACACAAAGCTACTGTATAGTAGCTTATAAATATTACCCACAAGTCTCATTGACTATGTTTATGGTGTTCTTGGGTCCTTTTTTGGAATTTGACATCTATGGTCACATTAAACTGATTTTATGGGCAAACTGCATGAAGGTCCTTCAAAATTTCCTTTTTATACATCGCACACATCATGAGGGTGGGATAATAATGGCAGTGGTGAAAGTCTCTAAAGGAAAGACTATTGTTTGCTGCTTCTAACATTTGTTTTTCTGTTTCCTCTCTCAGCTTTTTGTGGTGTCGCAGTACAAGATTTTGGTTAGTCTGTTGGGTAAGTATTTTTTCCAGATTTGTTTAGTCAATGACTACATTTACATGTGCACCAATAATTTAGCAAAACTTCATTCAAGCGCAAGCACATACACAGTTTGGTCAGAGTGGAATAGATTTGTGTTACATACCTGTTTATTGTAACTGACATCGCCATATGCCACATACTGTATTTTTGAGCTCAATCGCATCAGTTTGATCAGAGTATTGGGTTTACATAAGGTTAATAGCAATATTGCCTAAACATAGTCATTGTCATATGATGCTTTGTTTGTGGCTTGCATTTGAGGAACTTATATCATAGATCAAATTGATGTGGTGTAGTGTAAAGTATCTTAAGGACCTGTGTAGTTTTGGTGTCAGCAGTATCATTGCCCTCTTTTGTTTCAGAAAATAACATCCACGTTCACGACCTGCTCACGTTCCAGCAGATAACTGTGGTGTCCAAAGCCAGAGGGGCCACACTGTTTGCCTGTGACCTGCAGGTAGGTTAAAGAATCACTCTGGCCTGTTTGTTTGCGTGCAGCGGCCCAAAAAGTTGTGTTTGTGAAATGTTAATAGAACATGTTGATGCCTGAAGTTGCTCTGCTAAGACACCTGTGTGAATGTGAAGAGAACTTCATATATCAACCAAAAATCACAGCCACAGTTGCTTAAAGTTCATTCCAAAGAAGAAAAAAAAAAAAAGTAGCAGTGACTTGGACAGACTTTAAGTATCATCTCCACTTAAAAAGATGCAATCTATTCCTGTTTACATGAAATAAGCCTGCTCCCAAGCAGCTTTGAGCTTACGGACCTGTTGCAATGACAGCGACCCCGGGATGAGCTTCGAAGAACCGAACAATCCTGGATCTTGTCAAATCGTCAACAGTAAAATCCAGCTAACTGAGTAACCCAAGTATGAAGAACGGGCCCCAGTGGTAGTTTGAAGCTGTTTACCTGCCGGAATGAACTTGTTGAATCACGTTTTGGTCTGATTTTGTTTGAAATTACATCACAACAGTTCGTTCTCTGATTGCCCTTGAAGTACAGTATATCAGGGCCTTGAGTGTGGGGTCACCAAAGAAGAAAAAAAAAAAAAGAAGCAGTGACTTGGAAAGACTTTAAGTATCATCTCCACTTAAAAAGATGCAATCTATTCCTGTTTACATGAAAGCAGCTTTGAGCTTACGGACCTGTTGCAATGACAGCGACCCCGGGATGAGCTTCGAAGAACCGAACAATCCTGGATCTTGTCAAATCGTCAACAGTAAAATCCAGCTAACTGAGTAACCCAAGTATGAAGAACGGGCCCCAGTGGTAGTTTGAAGCTGTTTACCTGCCGGAATGAACTTGTTGAATCACGTTTTGGTCTGATTTTGTTTGAAATTACATCACAACAGTTCGTTCTCTGATTGCCCTTGAAGTACAGTATATCAGGGCCTTGAGTGTGGGGTCAAAAACTTTTGGGCCACTTCACTAAATGTAATTGTCCATTAATGCTCTGAACCCCAGATCTGATTTTTCTTTTTCTTTCTCTCCCTCTTCAGCAGTCCAGCTCTGGCGAGGCCAAACTGCGCATGTGTGTTGCCGTCAAGAGGAAGATTCAGCTGTATTACTGGAAGGACAGAGATTTCCATGAATTACAGGTCTTGAGGCTTGGAAACACAGAAATGAAATATTGGTAGTAAACCATAAGATTAGCCTAAATCATGTTTGGTCACTATTGCAGGGGGATTTCGCCGCTCCAGACATTCCCAAGTCCATGGCTTGGTGTGAGAACTCCATATGTGTGGGTTTCAAACGAGACTACTATCTGATCCGGGTAAGTCAAAAAAATGTAGTTCTGCTTACGAATATTGTAGTTTGCATTGCAGTTTTGTCAGAAGTTAGCCAGCAAGTGAAACAAACCATTTTGCTTCCTCTTAGACTGATAAAAACCAAATTGAAGCTTGCTGAATTCTGGTTTTATTTACAGTATATATCAGATGGACTGTGAGCAGACTATGGGAGTGCCATCTGAGGCTGAGACCAGATTCTCTCTCAAATTCTGCAGCTGAATGTATCATAATATGGATATTCACTCACATTAGTATTTTTTGGGGGTTAATCGTGTGACTTTTCTCTTCAGATGGACGGACGTGGCACAGTCAAAGAACTGTTTCCCACAGGGAAACAGCTGGAACCATTGGTGGCCCCGCTGGCTGATGGGAAGGTCGCAGTGGGTCAGGATGACCTCACGGTTGTTTTAAACGAAGAAGGCGTCTGCACTCAGAAATGTGCCCTTAACTGGACGGACATTCCTGTTGCAATGGGTATGTATGATGTCAGTCTTAACAAACATGATTCTCATGTACTCATTAGCAACTTACCGAACATGTTTGTTCACGAGTTCAGTCACTGATAAAACAATGTGAACGACTTGTCAGATGATCAAGGAAAACTAGTGTCCAATTACCATCTCAAAAATAAACATGGCTATTTTTAATTTGTAATTCACATTTGTGTTAAAAATGTAGCAATAATGAGCAAAAAAAGTAAAAAAATCTCATCAATGTCGCATACAATCAAGTATCCACAAGCTTACTATATATAGAAAGCAAAAACAAATTGGTGGCAAAACACACCTAACATAATATAATTTCTTTCACCTGTTGTTAATAATAATAATAGCAATGATTCAATAATTGACCGTCATTTCTTTTTTAATAAAGGAAAAGAAAATATTTGGTATCAGAATTGGTTTCGAGAATTGTGACATTTCACCGGTATCTAATATTTTGGTCTCATAACAACCTTGTTTCCTGAAAAAATAACAATGTCATGACATACACTGTTACCATGAAATAAAGTTACTTCTGTGTAGTAAACCGCAATATTTACCTGTATCTATTTTTATTAAAACATTTTGAAAACTTGATATAAACAAATTGATTCATTAAAATGAATCTGAACTTATTCATGGAAGTGAATGAATGCAAGAGCTGTTTTAATATTGATTTATGACCAACCCACACAGAATCTGTGCCTGCAGAAAAATCCACAGATTTCCACACACTAAGAACACCCAACATGCACAAAATCCATGCTAACAAAGAGAGTACAGACCTGTCAGCACTTTTTAACACATTTTCCTTTTTTCAAATCCATTCTACTGATTGTTCAAGTCATTTCTGAGTCTGTTTTCACATGTCTTTCATTAGAGCACCAGCCACCGTACATCATCGCAGTGCTGCCACGCTATGTGGAGATCCGCACGCTTGAACCCAGACTGCTGGTGCAGAGCGTAGAACTGCAGAGACCGCGCTTCATCACCTCCGCTGGGTGAGACCTCTATATCAATACATTTCCCAGCATTTCAGCTATCATATATTAGTTCCTCTATTTTCCACCATTCGTTAAGAATATAGTAATGTCCTATTTGTGAATGAATCAGGTTCTTTTTCCATTAGCAAAACTGTCTGAATCAGTTCCCACTTGTGTTCAATGAAGCAGATATTTACCTATGATCCATTGAAACAGACCTGCAGATGCATCCTATTTGAGAAGAAGGTCTTACTTAAAGGGTTAGTTCACCCAAAAATTAGCCCATAAATTACTCACCCTCAATGCATCCTAGGTGTATATGACTTTCTTCTTTCAGACGAATCCAGTCGGAGTTATATTAAAAATGGTCTTTGATCTTTCAAGCTGTTTAATGCCACTCAGCGGGTGTTGCATGCATCAGTCCAAAAGAAGTGAAATAAAAAGTGCCCATCCATAAAAATAAAGTGTCTGACGTTGGTTTTCACGAGACTCACCGGCGCACGCGCAATGCTGAACTCATACGTCATGCTCCCGGAACTGCTTCCGTGTAGGACTGTTGGCGCAAGCTACAATAAAGTGATTATTACATTTTGAATATGGATATTTTTCTTACAAAAACTCATCGATTCGCGTTCACCCCCCAGAGCCGTGTGAGACACTTTTTGTTTATGGATGGGCGCTTTTTATTTCACTTCTTTTGGACTGATGCATGCAACACCCGCTGAGTGCCATGAAACAGCTTGAAAGATCAAAGACAATTTTTAATATAACTCCGACTGGATTCGTCTGAAAGAAGAAAGTCATATACACCTAGGATGCATTGAGGGTGAGTAATTTATGGGCTAATTTTTATTTTTGGGTGAACTAACCCTTTAAAGGGATGAGCTTGTTTGCTCATCACTGTGTCATTCCAAACCTGTATCATTTCTTCTGCAGGTTCACAAAAGAAGATATTTTGAATATCAAACTAGATTTGAGCTCACTAACTTTCATTGTATGGACGAAAAAAACAAAATATCTTCTTTTGTTTGAAACGACATGAAGGTGAAATAAATGATGAACTATGGGGGGTGAACTATCTCTTTAAATTCAACACTTGCATGTGCAGTTTATGAATGTCTCTGTACTGCAGGTAGAGACATACTCACACTGGCCCAGCTAACCAATCACAACACACACTGGCCCAGCAAACCAATCACAGCACACATTGGCACAGCTAACTAATCACAACACACACTGGCCCAACAAACCAATCACAGCACACACTGGCACAGCTAACTAATCACAACACACACTGGCCCAACAAACCAATCACAGCACACACTGGCCCAGCTAACCAATCACAACACACACTGGCCCAGCTAGTGTGTGTTGTGATTGGCAGCACTCGGCTGGATGATTGTAACCACTATAAGTTCATCTGCCTTGTGAAAACTAGTGTGTCTCGGACATAGTGATAACACTCGCTGCCTTCTCTAGTGCAGCTCAACCAGGTCTCGTCCCATTCGTCGATCTTTGTGATATCACAAATCCCGGAAAATATGCCTTGTAGTCCAAATGAGTCATTCGTTGTAGTTTTTGAAAAGTGTTTTCTGTTAAATAAAATATCTCCTTTTGAATTGGACTTTGAGCTTTGTAACTTTGCAAAAGTTTTCTTTTATGCTCAAACAGCAACATTACAGACTGACTAGTGAAAAAGCACAATAGGACCCCTTTAAGGTATGTTTTCATTGAATTGCTGTGAAAGGAGATCTGACTCTGTTCTTTCTTTCCCTCTTTAATTTCACAGATCAAATGTCGTGTACGTCGCGAGCAATCATTTTGTTTGGCGTCTGGTGCCCATCTCTATAGCCAGCCAGATACGACAGCTGCTACAGGACAAACAGTTTGAACTGGCACTTCAGCTAGCGGTGAGAAACTTTTTAACATCCCCTAAATACTAAACGCAGAGTACACAGTGTTCTCATATGTTGACCTTGTTTTTGTCTCATCTTTCTTCAGAAAATGAAGGATGATTCAGATGCAGACAAGAGACAACAGATCCATCACATTCAGAACCTGTTTGCCTTCAACTTGTACTGTCAGAAACGCTTTGACGACTCCATGCAGGTGTTTGCTAAGTTAGGCACAGGTGAGTTCATACAGCAGTGATGCTGCACCACAAATGAGAATAGAATAGCATACAAGTACGGAAAGACTCGTCCAGTGTGTGATACATCACACAAACAAATACATAAATAAATATTTTGGACTAAATTTAAAGGGGTCCTATTATGCTCTTTTACAAAGTCTTGATTTATTTCTGGGGGTGTACTAGAACAGGCTCTCATACTAGGTCATTCGAAAAATACATTATTTTTCACATATTTTACATTATTACAACACCTCTCTCCCCAGTCTGGCATGAACCAATTTTTTTATTTATTTGCACATCTTTTTAAGCCATTCGGTACCAGAGGCGGTGCGCAGTCACAACCAAAGTGCGCTCGTGCGTATATAAAGCCACCTTGCCAGTACCAAATTGAGTTTGCTACCAAATAAGCTCAGCAGAACCCTGCACGGGCCTCAAACATATGCCCTAGTCCGGCCCTTATCAGACTGAGTCCAGTCCACACAGACTGATCAAATCAGTCATTTGAAAACAGCGTGAGTGATTCAGCTGTACGCGTCGTCTTCAAACGGCTTCACATCGGCACACCTTGTCTGCGCTACAAGAGCCGCTGCACGCTGCGATACAAGACTTTCACTCGCGTTTCGGGACAGTTGACAGAATTGTCACTTGCCTAATCGGGTCATTGTTGCATCGTCAGACAATTTTTTTATTTATTTGCACATCTTTTTAAGCCATTCGGTACCAGAGGCGGTGCGCAGTCACAACCAAAGTGCGCTCGTGCGTATATAAAGCCACCTTGCCAGTACCAAATTGAGTTTGCTACCAAATAAGCTCAGCAGAACCCTGCACGGGCCTCAAACATATGCCCTAGTCCGGCCCTTATCCGACAGATTATCAGAATTACTGGCCCGTGTCTTTTTTCTCTTTCTCTCTTCCCCAATTACACAGCTGCTGTTGTAGCCATTAAAATAGTTCAGTTTAGTTTTTAATGGCAAAAGTGGTTATATATATTTTCGTTTCTTTATTACGTTAATTTAGACATATCATATGTTTGGAAAATGTTTTTGTTTGTTAAATTCAAGTTTTTGTTTTTCGGGCTGAAATGCAGGGCTCTAAAGCGCAGCTTGTTGCATTTAAGCAGTAAAAATACACACAAAATGACACCAAAATGGCCATCCTGGCCACACAGTTAAATAAATGATAATATTCAGTGATGTGAAATGTGGAGTAACGTCTGGCGCAGTTGCAGCTTGTACTTATTACTAAAACAAGAAAGCAAACAAGTAGCATTAATAGTCATTCATTTTAGTTAACATATGCTATGATGATTTGAAAATATTTTTATTCTTATTGTAAAATAATGGAACATTTAGGTCATGAATATTGTCTCAAAAGTCATGGAAAAGTCATGGAAATTTATTGGTAAAAATGTGTACGAACCCTGTTGGCAGCTCTCGGCGCCTGGTCGGGAAATGTCATGCCCCCCTTACCATAGCCACCTGCGAGCTTCAGTGTAAATATTGCGTCAAAATCAAATCAATTTGAGCGTGATTTAAACCCGGATGATTGTAACCACTCTAAGTTCGTCTGCCTTGGGAAAGCTAGCGTGTCTCTGACATAGTGATAACACTCGTTGCCTTCTCTAGTGCAGCTCAATCAGGTCTCGTCCCATTCGTCGGTATTTGTGATATCACAAATCCCGGAAGATATGCGTTGTAGTCCTAACGAAGTCATTCGTTGTAGTTTTTGAAAAGTGATTTCTGTTAAATAAAATATCTCCTTTTGAATTGGACTTTGAGTTTTGTAACTTTGCAGATCTTTTTAATGCTCAAACATCAACATTACAGACTAACTAAAGTTGAAAAAGTGAAAAAGCATAATAGGACCCCTTTAACATTCATGTTTTTGAAATACATATAAATTTTCCATCCATTTTTATTACACAGTTTTAAATAAAAAAAGTAAGATTTCTGTCATAGTATGTTTTAAAGGTTTATATATTTTACATCAATAAATTATTTTCAATCTCATATATTTCAAATAAATGAATAATGCTTGTTCCACAGCTAGCCGTATTTAACCGTGTTCATACTATTTAACTGAATACATTTGTTTTTGCTGTGAACATATTTATGCTGAAAATATGATTAATTAAATAAAATCAAATAGATTTATATAACGTTGAGTATATAGAGCGCAGAAATCTTCCTTTCTTGTATGATTGGCAAATATGCATCACATATTTGATTTTAATTGTTTATTATTTTATGTTAAAACTGCGATCCAAATGGATGGAATGTGCAATTCAAATGCATATATCTTAAATTTAGACCTAAATGCTTTTATTTATTTATTTAGTTAGTTAGTTAGTGACATACCAAGTAAATAAATTGAGTTGTAATTTTTTTCCTTTATTAACACATGCTTGAACTTGCTGTCTGAGGCTGAGTTGCATCATTTAGTCCACTAGAGAGTGCCATTGGACCAGGAAAGAAAGATGTGTGCATAATAGAGACATATTTTTGTATGTTAGCATCACCCCGGTTCCTTCAACAAAAACCCAATAGTTTTGGCGTATGGATTATTGCATAGAATAAACACTGTGACCAACAAAGGTTTATGATTCTTACATGTTTTGTTCATCATGATGATCTTCACAAATGAACACAACATTTATGAATTTTGAAGCCTGAATACAATCTCCAAAAGTAAAAATATCTTGAGCTTGTGTTAAACAGACCTCATTTCAGACATTTAACCAAAAACCTATCGACTTCAGGATGATAAAAAATCTGCTTTTCTCTTCTCTTTTATAGATCCCACTCATGTTATTGGACTGTATCCAGACCTGCTTCCCTCTGACTACCGCAAACAGCTGCACTACCCCAACCCTCTGCCCACACTGTCTGGAGCCGAGCTGGAGAAAGCCCACCTGGCCCTCATAGACTACCTGACACAGGTATTCACGATTCATCAATTTCATATTAAGTGTTTTTTCAACTTTTTTGCGTCTTGTTACAGTTTTCTCTAACATGTTTTTGATAGAAACGCAGTCATTTAGTGAAGCAGCTGAATGACTCGGACCCCTTCACCACCTCCCCTCTCATGGAGGGGACCCCCACCATCAAGAGCCGCAAGAAGCTCCTTCAGATCATTGACACCACTCTGCTTAAATGTTACCTCCACGTAAGGCCTTCAGATCGTTCTCTTACAAAATATTTCCATTTCAAATAAAATGCTGTTCTTTTGAAAATTCAGCTTTGATCACAGCAGTAAATTACATTTTAAAATATATTTCAATAGAAAACTGTTTTTTTAATTGTTCTAATATTTCACAATGTTACTGTTTGCGTATTTGTTTATTTTACTTACCTTTTTTTTTTGAGCAAGTAATTGCAGCCTTGGTGAGCATAAGAGACTTTATTTCAAAAAGATTAAAAAATCTTGCAAACCTTAGATTTTTGAACTGTTACATACAGTAGGTATACAAAAGAATCACCCCCCTTTAAAAAAAATCACATTTTGTTGCTTTGCAGCCTGAAATAAAGACGGACACAGTTTAACTGTAAACTGTATTTACTCAGTGCAACTTCCAAGTGAAAGATAGAACACCAACATGTCATAAATAAACAGAATCATGGAATGTATCTGTGATAAATTGGATGCTGCAAGATCATTTGTGGCTGCTGCTATGCTAGTACTTTTCTGATGGAATTTTGTGACTTTTCAGAAGCTTACTTCTAAATATCTTTATTTTAAATTTGCTACGATAAACCAAAGCAAAAGATTGTAAGATGTGATTAATTCTTTAGATAATTGTACCATGAACTCAAAAATATTTTCCTTAAAACTTACAAAAATGCAATTTATCTAACATTTTTCAAATTCTCTTTCTTTGTTTTTGAAATGCTTATTGCTCTTAATTGTCCTCAGTAGTAATTTTAACAAGTCAGTCAATCATTACTTTAACAAGTCAGTATGAGAGAGATGAGATATGAATGTATAAGTACTTGGCTATGATGCCTGAAGCAGACAGTAGACAGATCTCTACAGTTACAGCTAGTTTATCTCAATTTACTGTAAAGGTGTGAATGTAGAGAATGGTTTATGTTTTGTTTTTTACCTGCAGACCAATGTAGCTTTGGTGTCGCCTCTCCTGCGTCTGGAGAACAATCACTGTCACATAGAGGAGAGCGAGTATGTGCTGAAGAAAGCCCACAAATACAGCGAACTCATCATCCTCTATGAGAAAAAAGGCCTTCACCAGAAAGGTGCGCTCAGTCTTCTCAACTCCTGCTTACTGAGAACATGCTTCTAGATTGTCTTATGAGCGTTTATGTGTCCTTGAGTAATCTCCATTAGGAGCGTAATCTCTGTTGTGTCCTCAAGCATCTGAATATGATTTGGAGGGCTCCGATCAGCTCTTGTTTACAAAGATGCTCTAATCATGTCCTGGGCTGTTTTGTTGATGACATGCCTTACAGAAGAGACGATGAGGACCAGGCCGTGTCCATACTGCCTAATAAACCCTGACTGCAGCCAAGCAAACTTATACATTTTTTATATTATATACACATCACTTTCATGACTATACACAGATTTCTGTTTTATGCATGCATTCTCACACAGTTGTTTTGTATTGTTTTATTAGCAACTAGTAGAAAATGTATTTTCTTTTTTTGTTTGTCACATTTTGAGTGTGACAACCTGTTTTATTGAGGAAGTCCATACAAACTGAATGACTATTTTCGTGAATTGGATGCTGTTTTGCACTGTATGTTCTGTAATAGTGTATGTTGACTATTTATTGTCAGTATATGATTTTACATCACCAGTTTTTCTCTCTGCTGTGACATCAGAACTCACCTAAGGATACATAAACATTTTGTCTTGATGCTGCAGATAATAATCTTCCTCATTCAGTTCAATAGACTTACAGAAGTGTAATTGTCCAGCTCTGCAGGTTCTGCTGGATCAGTCCACTAAAGCCAACTCTCCTCTGAAGGGTCATGAGAGGACTGTACAGTATCTTCAGAGGCTGGGTGAGATGACCACACTCAAGTACTGCATGTATACAATTTAATATAGTCAACACACTGTGTATTAGGATTGTACACATTAAAGCTTAGTGTTTATTTAGTATAACTATTTTGCTTGAAGGTCAAGAAGTGAGCCAGAATCTTAAACATGTTCACAGTCCCACATGACCTCTGCAGCTGCAGACGTTCAGTAGATTATTTTGCAATATGGCTTAGTGCAATTATCAAATAGCAAAGGCTGCGACTTCAATAAATATATGCACTGCATGTTTCAGAGTGAAGCATGGCACTGTGTTCATTTACAGTTGAGCAGCTCATGATCCATCCATGCTTTCAGCATTTCAGAACGTTATGGTTCGCAGTAAATGCACAAAGTCCATCTGCTCTGAGTTTGGGTCGCTTATAACATGCATTTGTAAACATTCGCCAATCTGCAAAATACAAATTTTATGGTTTAATGTTCGAAAAGAAAAAAATAAGAGCCATAAATATTAGTATTGTAATTTTACAGTTGCACTGAAAAATAAAATATTCTTAATTTTATATTATTTTTCTTAAATGCTCTTCTTCACTGTTATATTTCTCAGCGAAATATTACAATGGTATTAGTAGTCATATTTTGTTTTAGTCATTATTTTTAGTAAGAATAGCCATATTGATGTATAACTGTTTTTACTAAAAACTAACAATTTTTATCAGAAAACACACAATTATAGATAATCGCAAATAGATATTTTCTCAAATCTTGTAGCCCTACTCCCCCTTTCATTTTTGTTTAGTAAATATTCTCACTAATTAGATTCTTTCAGCTACCAATAAGAGTGTAGTCCTCTCAGCTCCATTTAACATTTTACAATGTTAAAATCTATTTCACGGATTTTTCCCAAAAATGCAGTAAATGCAAAAACAGCCAACTGATTCTGATTGATAAGTAACATTCATCCTTTCTGACTAGTTTAACAATATGTTGATTTATAAGACAAATGATCCAGCTCATCACTTGCATGCATCGGTATCTTTCTGCACAGGTGTGGAGAACCTGGGCATGATATTTGAGTTTTCACCGTGGGTTCTGAAGATTTGTCCAGAGGATGGACTGAAGGTGGGATGAACATAGTCTGGTTGTATTTATATGTACTCTGTTCTTCAGAAGATCTTGAGTTGGGGTTTTCTACTTTCAGATCTTCACTGAGGACCTGACGGAGGTGGAGACTCTGCCCAGAGATAAAGTGTTGAATTTCCTGAAGGACGGCTTCAAGGAGCTTGCCATCCCGTACCTGGAGCACATCATTTACATGTGGGACGAGACACGCCCCGAGTTCCACAATGTTCTGATCCAGCTCTACCTGGAGAAGGTGCAAGGCCTCATGAAAGTGTACCTCAACTCACTGCCTGAAGGTCAGACTCGCACTGCTTTATCCGAGCTGCTCTAGGAGTGCTGCTGGTAACAATAATATAATTCCTGCTCAAGTAATACAATAATGATGCAACAGAAAAACACAGTCTTGGGACAATTTCTCATTAAAAGTGAAATTCAGAGTCTATATGCAGCAGTATCTGAAACTATACAGAAGTCATGAACACTGCAGCATAATCTGTCGACTGGTGATGATTAGTAGTTTTTTTTTAGTTTTTGATATTTGGTACAGTCATTTTTAATTCTCAGATAGAAGTGATTCAGACTGTATAGTTATTAGAAAAATGCATAATCAGTGCAAATTATAAAATAATAATAGTAATTTTTAGCATTAGGGTAATTTATATACAGTGACATCACACAGTAGTTGAAAACATTGGCTACTGTGGAAAAATGTGCAGAACCCAAGATATCCAAAAAGCTACAACACTTATATAATAAATTATTCACAGAAGCATAATTATACAATTTCATATGATGTGTTCGATGGATGGATTGTGCTGTTTAAAGCACTTGGCAGGTGTTTTTCCCCAGCATGTCACTTTTTTATGGTTATGTTCTCATCAGTATATGAATTCATGTGAGTATTTCAGTTTTTCCTAAAATGCAAGCTAGTTGTGATTGGCTTTATTTTATTGTATTTGTGTGACTACTGTGTAGCTAGTAGAAAATGTATAACACGGCTCTTGCCATGAAAATTGCCTCAGCTTCTAATATGGCATTTAAACGTATTCTACCTACCTACTTTTAATTAAGCCACCAAAACATTCATTTAATTTTTAAGGAAAGTAAACAAAATAATATTTTCTGACAATTTGCTCTTCACTGGATCTATAAGTTTGAATAAACCCTTTATTAGCGACACAATTGTTCTTTGTGATGGAAATTATAACACAACGGAAAGGGAGTCATAATTTGTGTAAAAATTTGTGGTAGTTTATAGGGTGTGGGCTAGAAAGGGTTTTACAAAAAGAAAAAAAACGGAATAATGGATAGCAAAAAACATTTGTGACACAAAGTATCCATAAACATGTCTAAAACGAAAACTTTCTGTCTAGATGAAATAAAGGCCAAATGCATTGTGTTGACTGTGTCCAGGTGTTCCAGCTGTAGCTGCAGGAAAGGAGGCAGGAGAGCTGGGGGAGTACAGGAACAAGCTTCTGTCGTTTCTGGAAGTTTCCAGCAGCTATGAGCCAGAGAGACTCATCAGTGATTTCCCATTTGATGGTGAGTCCACAGGTCAGAGATATTACAATAGAATATAGCTGCAAGCAGCAATGACGGGCCCAAGCCCCCCGGTGGCATCAAGAAAACAGTGCAGAGCGGGCAATATGCATTAAATCTGGCAGTCTGGTTGTTGAGTCACACCAATGAAAGGGTTACTTAACAAATACATACATATAGAGGGTAGGATATATACAACTTTTAATGATCTATAAGAATTTTTAATGATTTGAATGATCTATTAGCATTTGTAAAGTAATTATATAAAACTATATTCACAGTACAATATATTTCAACTGAATCTATGCATTTATTTGTCATTATAATGGATGGAAACAGACAGGAGAAAGATGAGGCTTAAAATAATTCTTACCCTATGACTCCATCTAGTAGACAATCGTAGTATTACAGCCTTCATTTGTCAGCTGAAATGTCTGATAGTTTACAATTTGCTGTTAGGCCCCTGAGCATCAGAAATTCATGAAACGAAGCATGTTTCATCAGAATGACTTGACTTGTTGAACAGTGACCTTTAAAGATAGGCTATAAGACGTTTTCTTTTTTGCTGTTATTTTCATAAATCACCATGGCAACACCGTTTGAGATATCCAAAAAACGTTCACAAGTTAGGTTCCTCAGTGTTTTGGCATCATGTTGACAAAGTTTGGTGTAAATCGTATGAAAGTGTTTGGAGTTTAAAAGTTTGAAGCGTTGCCATGGCAAGAGTATGTAAGATATCAAGAATCCCTTCGCAGTTTTACATCGGCCATATTTTGACATTATTCTGATGAAGTTTGACGCAAATCGGGTAAAAATAACAGGGTGATTTCACCTCTGAAGTTTGACCAAAGTCAGTCAATGAACAAGTTATAACACACTTCCTGTTTCCCTTTTTTTGCCATAAATTTGTCACCTCATTATGGCCAAACCATTCGAGATATCAAAAATCTCTGCAATTTTGCATCCTCAATGTCTTGAGATCATATTGAGTGAGTTTGGCAGTGATTGGATAAAAACCCTAGGGTGAGTATACCAAAATCCAGAGCATGTGTTTTACAAACAATGCAACATGGCTGACTTCCTGTTGGGCGGAGCACTGACTGTCAGAACGAAAGTTGTTCGGGCTGATGAGATCTATATGTGTATGAATTTTGGTGACTGGGAAACGGTGTGTGCTACAGAGCTTGTCAAAAATGGCCTTATAAAAGGACCCCCCCCCGGTGACCTTCTGCCTGGCCCTGATGGCCACAGATTTCAACTTGTGCAAATTTTCAAGAGTTTTTGAGCATGATAAGGGCCCCAAAATGCCCTGGATAAAAAAAATTAAAAAATCCTTAGAAAAACAATAAGGCCCTGCGCCCCTAATGGCTTGGGCCCTAAAAATCTAGAACAACAATGACAAATACTGTGTTCCTTCCTCCCCTCCTCTCTCTCGTTCTCTCAGGTCTGTTGGAAGAGAGGGCTCTTCTGCTAGGTCGTATGGGGAAACATGAGCAGGCTCTCTTCATCTATGTTCACATTCTGAAAGACACGCATATGGCTGAAGAGTGAGTGTCGCTCTTTACTCATCCCTAGCCCTGTTCTCCATCACAAAATCAACATGAAATCAAAATATACATTATTTACTTTTTTAATACACATTCCTGCCCTTATTCATCAGTGTAACATTATTCAAAAAGATAAATGTTTGTCTGCGATGAAAGTCGAAGTTGCTCCACCCAGGCTGCACTATTGTTTATGTTTACCAATAGCCAAAAAGTTAAGTCATTGTTTTATGCTGCTTTGGTAGGTAGCACAGTAATGTGATGCATAGCGTAACTGTAGGCTATTAAAGTTGCAGCAATAATAGCAAATGTCATTGGGGCCATTGGGATACGTGCAGATGCTCTGGAGGGTGAACTTTACAGTCAACCTCCATGTTTCTCTCAAAAAGCTTCTTCAGAAGTCCTCCACTGCAATCCACTACAAACTCTCATTAAAGTCTGACTCCATTCAGATGTGAAACACTCACTTTCAATTAATTGCTACCTACCAATTTCAGTGCATTTCATGTTGACTGTTCCATGAAAGGGAAACTGACTTTAAACTTCATCATTTATACCATTTAGGCTTTTCTCCTGTAATGTTCCTGTGTTTACACTCTTTTCTGTGTGTTCTGATCTTCCTCAGGTACTGCCACGGTCATTATGATTCTTCAGCAAACGGCAATAAAGACGTGAGTGCTGCGTAGTGACTTTTCACCAGTCTTATTTGAATGGTTTTCATTGTCACATTGTAACTGTACAGTAGAAGTTGTATAGTCACTGCAGTCTGGCTTGTACTATATCTTGTACAATGCAACAGTCCCACAAGGATTTTGTGGGACTTTTTTCTGCTTTGCTGACAATACAGAATAATAGCTTGCATACTTTCACTAAATCAGTACCGTATTTATTTATTGACATGGATTATATACTGTACATTTTAAATGTTTTAAATTATTCATGTTTTTACAGTTTAACAGTTATAAAAAAAACTGTACTTATTTAAATATAAACTTTATTTAATTGTAAATCTTTAAAATTAGGAAATAAGATAAACATTCAAGCTGTCTGGAGAGACTGAATGCAAAAACATTATAGGGGTCATATGATGCTATTTTCAAAGATCATTTGTGTACTGGTGTAATATAATATGTTAGCATGCTTTAATGTAAAAAATTCATTATTTTTCCATACTGTACGTTATTATAGACCCAGTCTTTCTAAAACACGTAGATTTCTACAAAGCCCCTCCTTCGAAAAGAGAAGTGTGCGCAGATTGGCCGAACATCTCAAGTGTTGTGTCAGAAATGCAACGACCTTTACCATAATCGCGAGCTTCATCTTCAAAAGCAATTATAAAGACAGTTAATAATGTCGTCAGTTTTACCATATCAGTTAGAGCCAGATAGGGCTGCACGATTAATCGAAAGCAATTGTCATGCGCATTTTGATAGTAATGCCGGTTCTGTAATCAGCAGGAAATCATCATCCCGTGCTTTCAGATGGAGCAGAATTTACTACACATAACCCTAATTCACTGACAAGTTTTGCAAAAAAATCGCTTCATAACGTCAGTCGAGTGTTTGAAATAAATCCTTCTGTGAGATGATGTGGCTTCTTACACGGAATAAGGCACGCAACATATTTCATAGTATTTAAGCAGTGATAAAGGCATTGCATTATAAATATACTTTATTTTAATGAAAATTATAATAATAAGAACTCAGATAAACCATATATTGCTGTAGTCGTGTGTTTATTAGTCACGTTGAATCAATGAAAGCAGTTGAATCTTCTGTTTATTCAGCTGCAGCGATTCTTCTGCGAGGCATTTTTGGAGTTTCAGCGTGAGAGCGCCCTCTGGCCTTTGGATGGAGATTTACTGCTGATCACAGAACCGTGCTTCACTGAAAGATACGCATGACAATCGCAGCTTCTGTCGAGTCGCGATCTCGATTCCATTTCGATTTAACGTGCAGCCCTAGAGCGAGAGTCAGATTTTGAAAATGCAGATGACCAAGCTGATCGATAAATCTTAACCACTGATTCCTAATTGCATCCACTTTCAGAAGGCCATATAAAGTGCTTTTGCGTAGAAACGCACAGCGTCTCCACAATGGTGGAAACAACACTACTGCGATGAGTGTTTTAGGGTGTCCAGTTAATGAACATTCTGATAGCTAATGATAGCAGTAATAATGATTGCACTAATAACAATGTTATTAAGAATGATATGCCCATCAATTATGGTTGCCCATGCACAAGTTTTTGAGTAATATTGTGTCAGTTGTGATGAGACTTTACAGTCATGAAAGTTGCCTTTAATATTTACTGTAGTCACTATCACACAGATACAGTACGTGCGGCTTTAAGTCTGAGGGTTAGTAAATATAGTTGTCAATCCCAAACACGGTGTAAATGTGGTCAACTGCAAATGTAAAACCATCTCTCTTGTGATGAAACTCCTTGTCTAATGTTAACAGAGGTCTGCGTCCTGTCTATAGGTTTATCTGTCCCTGCTCCGCATGTATCTGTCTCCTCCGGATGTGCACTTCCTCGGGCCTATTAAGATGGAGTTATGTGAGCCACAGGCGAACCTCCAGGCGGCCCTGAAAGTTCTTCAGCTCCACCACAGCAAACTAAACACCACCAAAGTGAGCATCCATCGAGAACACATGGAAATATCCATTTGAGTCTGGAATTGAAGACATTATCACCAAACCATGACCGTTTCCTTTCCTCACCTGTCTGAGAGTGAAATACTGACATACTGCATGCTGTAACAAAGCCACAGACAGAATCCATGGCATGTTCTCTCATTGTGTTTCTCTTTGTCTCTCGTAAGGCCATAAACCTGCTGCCAGCCAACACACAGATCCGAGAGATCCAGGTCTTTCTGGAGAGTGTGCTAGAGGAGAAGGCTGGGAGGAAGCGCTTTGACCAGGTCCTGAAGAGCCTCCTTCAGGCCGAGTTCCTGCGGGTACGATTACTTGTGAACAATTTGACTCTGCCCGCTAAAGACTCACTTACTTTTGAAGCTGTATTCAATGTTTTAAAACAAGGTACTGGTGAATGCATCATTTTGTCAGAATACGAAGTTACTTGCTGGAAAATCTAGCTTGTTACTGGAAAAGATGCAATACTTAAAAACAGCCGAGCTTCTGTAATCCTACTAAAAAAAAATTTAATTAAGGGCAAAGCTGTATGCTAGCATACGCGCTTTAAAAGCATCACTAATTCTAACTCTCCAAAATGCCCCTATGTTTAATTTAATGTAATTTAATAATGTTTTTTTTGTTCGTGTGCAGGTGCAGGAGGAACGCATCTTTCACCAGCAGGTGAAGTGTGTCATCACAGATGAGAAAACCTGCAGAGTGTGCAAGAAGAAGATCGGAAACAGGTGTGCTTCATGTGAATATCTCATATTACTGCAATATTCTGTTCTGTAACACACTGGCCTGTGTACACCATGCACAAATCAAGCTGGGGTTTTTTTGTGATGCAAAAGTACATACTTGAGTGTGTAGCGAAAGATTGTAGAAGTAATAGGACATTATTATCACATCATAAATACTACAGACATGACAAAGTAAATCTGACATCTGACAAATTACATTGAGAGAAAAAAAAACTTACTCAATTACTAACGTAACCTCGGTTCCCTGAGATACGGGAACGAGTACTGCGTCGCTAGATGCTGCGGGAAACTCCTTTTCTCCGATTACTGAAGCCTTTTTTTTTTTTTCAATCACAGCAGTGCATCTGCACTGCCATTGTTTCAGAAATGAACCAATGACGGCGCAGCTCACCAAAATGGGCGGGACATCTGGCTATATAAGCAGGTGCTCGGCATAGGATCATATCAACTGAAGCGACAACAGAGTCGTGCAGCGTCATAGCACGGTTAGCTACGCAGTACTCGTTCCCGTATCTCAGGGAACCGAGGTTACGTTAGTAACCGAGTATGTTCCCTTTTGATACTTCACTTGTACTGCATTGCTAGACGCTGCGGGAACCTATTAAATCACACCGTGCTATGGTAGATGAACGACTTATAAGTAATTGTCCAGGGCGTCCAGAAGGGGGCCTTGTAGATCAACTACAATGTAGCAGGCCATAGCCAGAGACCCGGATTCTTTTCGGGGTCAAGAGGAGGCAAAGAAATGGCCCAGACTAAGCCCAGACGTGGGAACTTCAGTGGGTTCGAAACATAGTCAAACCCAGCAAGGATTAAATCCAGCCTAAGGGTGCGTCGCTAGATGCTGCGGGAAACTCCTTTTCTCCGATTACTGAAGCCTTTTTTTTTTTTTTCAATCACAGCAGTGCATCTGCACTGCCATTGTTTCAGAAATGAACCAATGACGGCGCAGCTCACCAAAATGGGCGGGACATCTGGCTATATAAGCAGGTGCTCGGCATAGGATCATATCAACTGAAGCGACAACAGAGTCGTGCAGCGTCATAGCACGGTTAGCTACGCAGTACTCGTTCCCGTATCTCAGGGAACCGAGGTTACGTTAGTAACCGAGTATGTTCCCTTTTGATACTTCACTTGTACTGCATTGCTAGACGCTGCGGGAACCTATTAAATCACACCGTGCTATGGTAGATGAACGACTTATAAGTAATTGTCCAGGGCGTCCAGAAGGGGGCCTTGTAGATCAACTACAATGTAGCAGGCCATAGCCAGAGACCCGGATTCTTTTCGGGGTCAAGAGGAGGCAAAGAAATGGCCCAGACTAAGCCCAGGCGTGGGAACTTCAGTGGGTTCGAAACATAGTCAAACCCAGCAAGGATTAAATCCAGCCTAAGGGCAGGGATATGGTTTCTGGAGCGTTTGAGCTCAGAGAGACAGTTAATCAGAAAGAACCTGAGCCTGCAATGCAGGGACGTCCAGGTTGTAGAACCTGACTAAGGTGGACGGCAAGGACCAGCCGGCCGCCGCACAAATTTCTGCAATGGACACACCACTGGACCATGCCCAGGATGAGACCATGCCTCTCGTGGAATGTGCTCTGACCCCGATTGGGGCATTGAAGGTCCAAGGAGGAATATGCAAGAGCTATTGCGTCAACTATCCAACGGGATAGTCTTTGCTTTGTGACCGGAAGCCCCTTGGTGCGGCCACCAAAGCATACAAAGAGCTGCTCCAACTGCCTAAAGGAGGCGGAGCGGTCAATGTAGATTTGTAATGCCCTGACAGGACAGAGCAGATTTAGCTCCTGGTCCTCCTGCAAGGGGGGGAGCGCAGAGAGCGTGATTACTTGTGCTCTGAATGGGGTAGAGAGCACCTTAGGTACGTAACCATGCCTAGGCTTCAGGACGCCCTTGGGGCTGTTAGGCCCGAATTCAAGGCAGGAGGGGCTCACAGAGAGTGCCTGTAAATCTCCAACTCGCTTAACCGATGCCAAAGCTAATAGCAGAGCGGTCTTTAGCGACAGGGGTTGAATATCAGCGGATTGCAGCGGTTCAAAGGGGGGGCTTTTGAGCGCCCTCAGAACCGTAGACAGATCCCACGTAGGGATCGTAGAAGGGCGAGGGGGGTTCAACCTCCTAGACCTTTAAAAAATAGAACAATGAGGTTGTTCCTGCCAACCAATATCCCGTCTATAGGAGCATGAAAAGCTGCTATAGCCGTCACATAGACCATAAGATTGGAGGGGGTTCGACCCTTATCCAACAGCTCTTGAAGGAAGGACAATATCGAAGATATGTCACATGTGGATGGATCTTCACCGCGGTTTGTGCACCAAGCGGTGAAGACCAACCATTTGAGAGCATAGAGGCGCCTTGTGGACGGGGCTCTAGCCTGAGAAATGGTATTTAAGACACCCTCTGGGAAGTTCATAGGCTCTCATTGAGAGGCCATAAGTGTAGGGCCCACAACTTGGGTTGGGGGTGCCATTTCGTCATGTTTGCCTGAGAGAGGAGGTCCCGTCTCAGGGGAATGGGCCATGGAGCTGTCGTGAGCAGCTGAGACATCTCTGAGAACCATAGTTGGTTTCTCCAGAGCTGGGCCACTAGAAGAACCTTGTGCATTTGTTCCCTGATTTGCCTGATAACCTGAGGGATCAGGGCGATTGGGGGAAAAGCATAAAGGAGAAGGCTGGGCCAGTAGTGGGCCAGCGCATCGCTTTCCTTCGAAAAATAGATTGGGCAGTGAGAGTTGTCTTCTGAGGCGAAGAGGTCGACCTCTGTCTTCCCGAAGATCTCCCATATTCTCCGAATTGTCTGGGGGTGAAGCATCCACTCGCCAGAGGGGACGTTGCCCGAGACAGCATGTGTGCTCCCTGGTTCAGTTCACCCGGTATGTGCGCTGCTTTTAGGGAGCGCAAGTGGCAATGTGCCCACTTTGCCATCCTGAAGAGGCGTGGGGAGGAAAGGCCGCCCTGGCGATTTATGTAGGATACTACTGTCATGTTGTCCGATCGTACTAAGACATGGCATCCTTCTAGATGTGGTAGGAAGGACTGTTAGGCCTGATGCTGATGCTGCATTTCCAGGCAGTTGATGTGCAGCTTTGCACAGCCCGTGTTTGACGCATCTGTGAAGATGACCTTCCTTTTGTGCATCATCCCCAGGGATACGCCCTGTTTGAACCACGAAGGGTCTTTCCAAGGGGCAAGGGCTGCGATGTAGGCTTGTTCCACCTTGATACCAAGGCGTCTGTGACGCCAAGCATGCGAAGGAGGCCTAACTGCAGTACTGGCGATGCAGAGGCCATAAGGCCCAGCATCCTCTGAAACACTCTGAGAGGAAGGGACGCGCCAATCGTGAAGGCGGTCGTCAGCCGCTCTATAGCCAGGACACGTTCCAGCGAGGCTACAGCTCTCATTTGGGTTGAGTCGAAGACAGCCCCCAGAAATGAGATTCGTTGGCTGGGAATCATCGAGCTTTTGGCATAATTGACCCTGAGCCCCAAGCACTCTAAGTGGTTGAGGAGGGAGGATCTGTGGGCTATCGGCCTCTGACTGGGCTAAGACAAGCCAGTCGTCGAGGTAATTCAGAATGCGGATTCCCATCTGTCTCAGAGGGGAGAGAGCCGCATCTATGCACTTTGTAAAAGTGCGTGGGGCCAGAGACAGCCCGGACGGCAGGACCGTATATTGATATGCCACTCCCTCGAAGGCGAATCTCAAGAAGCACCTATGGTGGGGGGCTATCTGAATGTGAAAGTAAGCATCTTTCAGATCCAGAGAGCAGAACCAGTCCCCTGGGCGAATTAGCGAGAGGATCTGTTTCAAAGTGATCATTCTGAATGTGCACTTTACTAGGGCGTGGTTCAAAATCCTGAGATCGAGGATGGGCCTGAGGCCACCATCCTTTTTGGGGATGAGGAAGTAGCGGCTGTAAAAGCCTGACTCGCTCTGAGCTGGTGGGACGATTTCTATGGCCCGTTTCGCCAGCAGCACAGCCACCTCGGAACGAAGAACGCAAGCGTTCGTGTTCCCTACTAAGGTGGGGATCACACCACAGAAACGTGGGGGTTCTCGAGCAAATTGGAGTTGATAACCTCGTTTTATAGTCCCCATAAGCCACTTTGACACACCGGGGATGGCCTGCCTGGCCTCGGCCCTTGTGGCAAGGGGTTGAATTGGTTCAGGCAGCGGGTTGCTGTGAAGGGACCCGGGGATCGCCTTGTTTGGAAGAGGAAACCTGGGGTCCCTGGCGCTTCGGGAAAGGGTAGCGCTTTGCAGAGCGTGAGTGCTGCCTGGGCTCAGGCCGTGCAGAGGGCTGAGACACAGGAGGCGTAGTCTTAACTGGCTGTTGAGTCGGCGCCAGCTTGGGGTGACTGGCAGCAGCTGCAGAACTGGAATGCTTCGGCAGGAAGTGTCGCATGGCTTGGGACGACTTCTGTGCAGCCGTGAAATGCTCGGCGAACCCTTCCACAGCAGGTCCGAAAAGGCCAGTGGTCCCCCACCTGGGAGTCAGAGAAGATGGTTTTATGCGCTTCTTTGATCTCTGTCAAATTCAGCCACAAGTGGCGTTCTTGCACTACCAGGCTAGCCATCAACCTCCCAATGGCCTGTGCAGTCGTCTTTGTGGCGCTGCGCAGCTCTCTGAATGCTGCAGAGTGTTCTGGCACAGACTCAGAGGTGTGCAGCCACCGCTTCGTCCAGAGGAGGCAGCTTATCGTAGCCCTTCTGTGCAGCGCCGTCGACCGTAGTGAGGGCGGGAGAGACAGAAGAGCGTAAAAGAGCTGAGTAGGGGGGCGCGCCATGACTTCGTCAGCTCGTCGTGAACCTCTGGGAAGAAGGGCGCAGCTCGCTGAGGAGGGGTCTGGCGGCATCCCGGCGTCCATACATCATAAAAAGTGCTCCACATAAAGATTTGCTTCTGAATTTGATTTGCTTCTGAAGACCTTTATTAACCCTCTGGAGCCGTGTGGGACACTTTTTATGATGGATTTGTGCGCTTTATTGGGCTTCAAAATCTCGATTTTTTTTCCCCCCCATTCACTGCCATTATAAAGCTTGGAAGAGCCAGAATTTTTTTTTATATAACTCCGATTGTATTCATCTGACAGAAGAAAGTCATAAACACATAGGATGGCTTGGGGGTGAGAAAATCATAAGGTAATTTTCATTTTTGGGTGAACTATCCCTTTAATAGGAGACCTTTTAAAGGTTTATAAGTTATTGTTAAAATTTCCCTATGGAGAACATGAATGGAGCTTTTACTTCCAGACCCAGACTGTTAGGGTTCCACCAATCAGAGAAGAGATAGTGTTACCATAGAGGTAGTAATTAATAACATAATTGAGTCATGAATTTTTTTTTTATGTTCCTGAAATCACTGTCTGTAGTGCTGTGCTTCACCTCTACAAGCTTGTCGCTCTTTATTAAAGAATGAGTCTGAAAAACACTTCCAAAAACAAGCCACTGATCAAGTGTGCAGTTTCACTCTATTAGTGCTAACTATGATGTAGGGACTGTTTGAGGGATTTACTGTATGAATATTTACATTTCTGTGTCCTCTTCATATCCAGTGCCTTTGCCAGGTATCCAAACGGTGTGGTGGTTCACTACTTCTGCTGTAAAGATCGCAGCATGTGTCCAGCGGAGTAATCAAGCCTGCAGTCTGGAGATGCCGGAAACACCAAACATGCCGAGCACAGAGAGCTCGGCAAACGTGACGCATCTGTGTGAAAACGCCACCGAAGGAAACCACTCTCTTTCTCTATTTCTCTCACTCTTTCCAGTGGAATGGAAAAGCCGACACGTCTGTCTGATGAAAATAAATCAACTTCCAAAGTAAAAAACAAATATGGACAGTGAGACTAAATTCAGATTTGTAAAGTGTATTACTTTGAAAGCTTTGCCTGAATGCACAACACAGACCCCTGAGAAGCACTTATTCCCTCACATCCCACCTTTTCTTCTTTGCGTACAGTGCAGCTTTTCATTCAACATGACGCTTTGTCCAATGCCTTTAGTGGTGAGGAAAGGCCTGTGTTTGTGTGCACCTTCAGGTGTTTAGGACTGTTACTCTGAGCTGTTTTGCTTCATTCTGTTAGCCTGAGATGAAATCAGACTCCAGATAAAAACCTTAATGTGGCCCCTCTACAGAAAGGCCAGCACTGGCGCGCACACTGCAGATCATTTACAGTCAAATACTGGCCTAATGTTAATTACAAGTTATATATAGACAAAATACTGTATTTTTAGTAATACAGTAGTTTACCAAATACATTTACCTGTAATACTGTAATTTTTTCCACTAAATTGCAGTCTGGTAAATTACTGTATTATTAAAAATACAGTATTTTTCTGCATTCTGAAATAATTAAATTACAGTAACTGGCTGGCAACTTCTGGCGTAGCTGTATTTTACTGTAAATTTCACAGTGTTTTTCTGCTATAGGCTGTCAGATGGAAGGACGAATGCTTCCTCTAGTTTCAAAGATAACTTGTTTACGGCTAGAAGTCTGGATGTGTATGTTTTTTAACAAAGGCGTGTCATCTAATGTTTCTAGTGGTTTGGGTTGTATGAGGTTTTGGAGAGCGGACAGGTGACTCCACAATCACTGTAGCATGCCACTTTTTCTCTTCTGGTTACTTGAGTGTAGGGCTGTGCAATTAATCGCATGCGATTATCATGCGCATCTCGTCAGTAAAGCCAGTTTCGTGATTAGTAGTAAATCTCCATCACTTGCTTTCAGATGGAGCGGCATTTACTACACAGAGCTGTAGTTCACTGACAAGTAATGCAATATCATGTTCATTATCGCAGGCGATTTGATCTGCGATAATGAACTCGATATTGCCTAACTGTCAGTGAACTACGGCTCTGTGTAGTAAATGCCGCTCCATCTGAAAGCAAGTGATGGAGATTTACTACTAATCACGAAACTGGCTTTACTGACGAGATGCGCATGATAATCGCATGCGATTAATTGCACAGCCATACTTGAGTGGCTTTAATTTATTATTAACACGCTGTCTTTACTGTTAGGAATGTTTCACCTATGTGTGCAGTCGTGTCGCCCAAACAGGCTGCAGTATTTTTTGGCTTTCTTATACATCTGTCCAATTAACACTTGTCAGATGCTTGTGCTTTCAGATAACTGTAAACCATGAGCTGAACTGTTGCTCAAACAAAGGCACAAAGGCACGCTTACATTGAACCTTTGTAACAAGTCTGAAATGTATTGGTTGAAATGGATGTGAATGTGTAGATTGTACATTAAATCTGAGGTGAAAGACAAATCTAATAAACATGCATCTTCTATTAAGTGGAGTGTGGTTTGTTTAAGCTGTTTATTAATATTTTAAATTAGGTTTTATTTTATATATTGTTTTTAGTTTAAATTGAATTTAAGTTTTAGTAATTATTATTTGTGTGTGTCTATAATATGGTTATTAATTTGTTTTTGTTTTTTATTCTTATTTAAGTTTTAGTTATTTAAGTGCATTAACTTATACAAAATGATTCAAGCTCATTTTCATTAAGTAATATGTTGTTATACTTTAGTTCAAGTAACAAAAGTTTTTTATGGATTTTCATTTTTTTATTTTGTTTTCACTTTAATTTTAAGGTTTTAATGTTTTCGTCATTTCTTTTTTATGTCTATGCCGTTTTTGTCCATTTTTATTTCAGTTTTAGTTTGTTAGTACATCAAAGTTAGTTTTAGCTTTAGTTAACTATAATAACTCTGATTCTGAGAACAATTATGATTTGTTGTGTCTCAAAAGCCAAGGTCAAAGAGCTAACAAAACAACACCAGCTTGAGCAGCAGAACCAGCACATGCTACAAAGCACAGATACTCTGAGCCTCTGCTCCTTCCAAGATGCTGCTAAAGCCTCATCATTCTGCTACACTACATACATCACGCTGAGGAAGGAAATAAAGCAGCTTTTGTTTACTTTCAATCAATCGCATTTACTGTATCTGAACCACCCTTTCGCCAATCATTTGTTGAAAAAGAAAAAGAAAGAAAGGACAAAGGATAGCTGTGTTTAAGAGTTTAAATAGAATGGCATGATAATAATAAACCGTACACATGGTAAAAACACTTTCGTTTGTTTTCTACAACTAACTGTAGTGTCGCACTAATGATGTCGCTCGATTATTGGCGCAGTTTCATGGTTAGTTACAGTGAAGTGATGTGTGAGGAGAGGCGGGCTCTAGGACCTGAGTGAAACCCGCCACAGAGAGAGTGTGTGTGTGTGTGTTCACTGCGCACGGCTTCATCCTCATCATCACCATCACAGCCGACAGCACATCACACACTCGGAGCGGGTCGCCAAGCGCTCAGAGCCGCTCATGATGCGCAGGATTCGGGCCAACGCCATCCTCATCCTCACCGTGGCCTGGATCCTCGGCACCTTCTATTACCTGTGGCAGGACAGCAAACCTTCCTCTTCCTCCTCGTCGTCGGGCTCCCAGCTGAAGAACCACGGGCAGAAAGGGAGGCTGGAGGAGCGCACTCTTCCTCTGATCGTGAGTGATGGTGATGATGATGGGCTGCATGATGATCACTGCTGTACTGCATGCGTTTATCTGTGTTTCTGTGATCATGTCTGATGTATGGAGCCAGTGTGTGTGTGTGTCAGGTGCATGTAAGAGGCTTTTCCTTAATCCAGCTGCAGGTGTGTGTGTGTGTGTGTGTGCGATCCATGTGTTTTCTTTGTTAGGATTTAACCTACTCTAAACTGTTCAGGCTATCAATAACACCCCGTGTCCCTTATCAGTAATCCAACAGAAATGTAATCAGACATGCTCTGGATTCACAGTGGGATTCTAATTCAAATTTGGAACTAGGTCTAACAGAGTATTTTTATTCTAGATGCCAACATTCCAAAAACTAGAAATTTTAGAACATGCAATTCACAGTATTTAGATTACTGGGGAAAAAAATGTTAAAACGTAACCCTGACATATGAAATAATAGTCCGAATACGTGCGGAAAAAAACAGTTCAGTTTTATTTAGAAGTACAAACTGAGTAAAAATACGCAAGTTGGTGCGGATGCAGATATTTATGTGACCAAAAAGTACGATGAAATTCTGATTTGCTTGTAAATCAGTGAGATCTTTATAACAGTACTGCAGACACTTACATAAAATGATATATCAGTCATCACTCTATAGAATATTTCTTAGTCCGATTCAAAACATATAGTGCAATGCAATGCAATGATTGAGAGATGAACAAATAAATGTTTCTCAAAAGCCTGATGATCAGATTTGAGACTCACATTTGAACATGATTTTTCTAAAAAATGATGTAAAGTAAAAAAATGTGCATCTTGAAATATTACTAACAACATGAAAAGCTACTCTTATGTTTGCTTTATAAAAATCAGTAAAGATTTGACGAGCTGAAGGTGTACGTTTGTACGATTATACTAAAAGAGCTTTTACTAGAGACAAAAGTCTAAACTATCAATCAGACGACAGAAGGCATGGAGTAGATTGTGTGTGATCATGTAATTAGAAGTTTTACTATCAAATATGATACAGTAGGATACAATTAATTCATATAAAACACTGCCAAATCTGACTGAAGATATAAACGGTGTTGATATTGTTGAGAAAGCTCTGCTTTATTCATTTTCAAATGCGTAACTCAGATTCATGCTGACTAAATGAAATTGACAAAGCTAGGCTGATTGAGTCGAATCATTATGGTTTTGCAGATATTTTCCAGGCGATCTGAGTCATCTGTGCTCTACAGCTGTTTGTTGTTTGTTTTGCTTCTCACAGTTTGACTCCACATTCATCAGGTAGAGAGCAAACGCTCCGGCTTTACTCCGCAGACGTCTGCTGGCTTCCAAAAAGAATGCGTAATATGCAAAGTTTGTGATTTTTTTTAAATGATTCCACACAGGCAGAAATATCACAGAATCAGTGCATGCATATTTCCACTACACTGATCTCTATAATATCACATTTAGTGAGTGGGATGGCTAATATATATATTTCTATGTATTATATATATTTATATTGGCTAATGCAATTTAATAACAGCAACTGTGATGTACAGATATGTGCTGAAATTTTATGAAAATGTTTTCATTTACAAAAAAAAACGTTTTGAATGATTCAATATTTGACAAAATAATAATAATAATTAGTAGTAGTAGTAGTAAATATAAAAATAAACAAAAAATATTACTATGTTTTAGAGTCAAATTAAAAATGGATCATTTAAGAAAAATTATATAATAATTTTAGAAGTAGTAGTAGTAGTAATGATAATAATAATAATCGTTTTATTTTACATTAAAACACTAATATGTATGGCTCTTTTAATTGATTCCTTTTCAAATATTAAACCATCAAACTTTTATTTTGACTGAAAACTGCAGGAAGCCTTTTTTTATTTATATTTATATAGTTCACTGACTACAGTATGGAAGGCCATTTCTGCCTTAGGATAACAAATGAAACAAGGTTTCAAAACTTTTTTTAATAATAATTAGTAGTAGTAGTAGTAAATATAAAAATAAACAAAAAATATGCCTGTTTTAGAGTCAAATTAAAAATGGATCATTTAAGAAAAATTATATAATCATTTTAGAAGTAGTAGTAGTAGTAATGATGATAATAATAATCGTTTTATTTTACATTAAAACACTAATATGTATGGCTCTTTTAATTGATTCCTTTTCAAATATTAAACCATCAAACTTTTATTTTGACTGAAAACTGCAGGAAGCCTTTTTTTATTTATATTTATATAGTTCACTGACTACAGTATGGAAGGCCATTTCTGCCTTAGGATAACAAATGAAACAAGGTTTCAAAACTTTTTTTATCTCACATTTCAGACTTTTTTTCTTCCAATTCTGAGATGTAGGAATTGTGAGATATAAAGTCAGAATTGCAAGATATACTGTAGCATTATTTTTTTTTTATCCCGTGGCAGAAACAAGCTTCCATACTATAGTCAGTGAATAGTGGATTACTGTAAAGCCTGCAGTTTCATAGCAGAGAAAATCTGTAAGGTGATGGCTTTTCGCATAATTTTCACATCTGAGGCATGTACTGGTACTGTTGCATTACTATAGGATATTGGTAGATTTTGTAACCGACTCGAGAAAGCGCTAACGCTACCGTCAGTGAATGCTGATCACCTTAAAATGCTCAACTATTAGAGCCTTGCAGTCACATCAGTCCATCACTAATAAGCATTCAGCAGTGCTGGTCTTGTCCTCATAATAGACATTAGCTGACCGCTGTGAAGTTATAGTAATTCTCTACGTTAGCTCCAGTAATCCCGCTATCCATTAGCCTGCTTTGATATCTGATCTACCCTTGTATTTGTGCCTCTGCCTGTAAAATAAGATGAAATGATTGTCCGCTTTGCCATGAGCCCTTTCACTCTATTAATGACAGAAGACCTGAAAGAAAAGGATAGCCTGTGTGTGTAGGGATACATTGGGTGCTTTATCACAGCAGCAATTCAGGCTTTTTATGGACGGTGTGTCTCGGGAGCATCGTTGCACAGCGCATTTATTTATTTGCCCTGAGCCAGATCCTGTCTTTACTGAGGTCTGTTCGCAGCACATCAGTCTCGGCTAATGTTCTTTTATGAGGGGAACAAATACTGAAATATCAGCGCAAGCATCTCTCTCTCATGCTCTGTTTTGATCTGTTTAGGAAGAGTTACAGATGCACAAAGTACCGCAGTGGATTTATTTGATGTGGCTTTTTTGGCAAAGCGGCGTGAGCAATATTTGCACATTGTTCCCTGCATCATTTGCATGTTGCTCCCAAGCAACATTATGTTAGTGCTGTTCTGCTAATGGCCTGGTTTGATTTTGTTGTACTTGTCCATTTGATGCATGTAAACAGCCAGCTGCTTGGACACACGCAGCACAAACCAGATGTCTCATATCAGGGATGACTCGACTGAGGGCTTGATCGCTTGTTGTGTTGTTATACAATAAATCAAATTAGTGAGCATATTAACTTCTTTTGTACAAATGACCTACAGAATCAATCAAGTAGTGCTGGGCGGTATGACCAAAAATGTATATCACGGTATTATTCAAAATTATACCGGTTTCACGGTACATGACAGTATTTTTTTTTTTCATGCATGACCGGGTGTTAACCATATTTTCTACTGATTGAGAGGAAATACTGCAGTATATTGACTTAGAATGTCCTATTTTACTGTAATGATGAGTGAATATTGTCCAAAAATACCACACTAAACACGCTCCCTTTTAATACATGTTAACCAGGATTCACTCTCATTTATAATCGCGGCATCGTCTGATAAAATCAACGTGCATCTACACTAAAGAGCGGCTATGCGGTTGTTTTGGCTATATTACTTTTTTGTCTCATGCAGCGCACTGTCTGCGTCTGAGTAACAAACTAAAAACAACAACAGACAAAAAAGTGCATGTGATATTAACAGACGAACTACGCTCATATTTATAATTCCAAAAAATCAGTAAGCGGCAGGTGCTTGGAAACGCTTTCCAAGCAAACGTTTTGTTCTCATTTATTGAGGAGTCGGCTGCGGTGCTTCTCTGCCGCTCACTGCACAGAACAGACGCCGAGAGAGGGGACACTTCTCCGGGAAAGTCAGACCTCGCGTTCGCGGGACAGCACTGGCGAAATCTTCCAACTGAACCATAGCTAAGGTTTATCCAAAAAAGTCGCTAGGTTTGTCAGTATGAATATTCTATGGAAAAAAGCCGCTAAAAGGGTCTGAAAGTTGCTAAATCTAGTGCTAAAGTCGCGCTTGTGTGTGTGTGAGACGCGGGAGCTGATGGCAGCGGGCGCTGGATATTTGTGGAGGTCAATGTGGATATTGTGGATGAGTTCTTCTGTGTCATCACGTTCTATTAGTTCTACAGCTTCAGTTTCAGAACTTTCACGCTTAGTAACACATACAGCTGTTCCCTCACCACAGTGCAACAGTGAAAAGAGACCCCTTTCAAACAGTGTCACGTTCCCAACGTTGTTTAAGCGGCATACGGTAAGCGTATTGCGGTATTTAAAAAATTCATATCATAACAAAAATAAACACCGGTATGAACCGGTATACCGCCCAGCACTACAATCAAGCTTTCTGTAAGTAAAACTAAAACCATATTTTTGTTCCCCAAAATTTCTCAACATAAAAAATAAACTTTAACTGAAATAAAATAAATTATACTAAAAAAACTGAAATTTTATTTCAGCTAGTTGTCAATGCAACATTTCTCATTTTAATTTAGGTGAACTTTCTGTGCTAAAAAACTAAAACTGAAATGCTACTGTTACTGAGTGATTATGTGGTACTTGAGAGGAAAACCATGTCATTTGCAGGATACACCTCCAGACTCGATGCACAAAGAACAGACCAAATGTTCCAGAAAAAATGCTCTAGTTGCTGTTCATCAGCCTGAATAACAGCGATAGACGGTGTGTTGACGCTGTGCTGATCAGGCTGTGCATCTGTTTGCTTCCACAGCAGATGCTGTCATAGCCAGTGGCATGTGCATCTCATTAGCTCTGTTCAGAGCTGCCGATGGAATTAAACATGAGAACATGAGATTGAGGACACATTTAGAGCAACCTGCAGTTTCATAGCAAGGAGATGGCTTTCACACCTGAGGCATGTGTGGTATAGAGTTTTTGTTTGTTGATTTTTAAATATGAAACTTGGTGAACTGATTTATGTGTCGGTACTTTTACCGTGATAATACCGATAACCTTGATGATAATTTTGGTCACTATAATCGTGATAAGAAATTTTCATACCATTACATCCCTAGTGTGGTAAAAGTACAAGTTACCAGCTTCAGTAAAGGAAGCTAAAGCACACGTGACACTGAGCACGACACAGTCAGATTGTATGTTTGCAGCGGTGTATGTGGAGAAAAACTTTATTGTATCTGTTGTAGGGCGATTGCAATTTATATGAAAGCTTGTTTCCGCCACTCAATAAAAATGCACAATTCTGACTTTTACATTTTACATTTCACAATTCTGAGAAAAAAGTCAGAATTGCGAGATAAAAGTCACAATTATCAAGCTTGGAAACAAGCTTCCATCGATTTAAATGCGAGTAAATGTGATTTGGCCAACATAATAATAATAATAATAATACCGGTAATAATAATAATAATTATTATTATTATTATTTAAATAAATTGCAGCCTTTTTGATTTGATAATTGCTCTAAGCCATATTGCAATTCTGATAATAATAATAATTATTATTATTACTAAAGAAAAATGAAGCCACTAAGCCATATCGCAATTTCAGTTTTATGCAGTCCTAAATCTTTCAAATAAATTAAATTAATGCTGAAGTGGAAGCACCATTACAGACTTAACAATTTAGCTTCTAGCGAGACAAATCATGCAACAACAAGTGTTAGAACTCCTGCAGAAAGTCCATTTATCAAATGGCAATAAATACTGATGCGTTCTTAACTGTGCATACAGGTGCCTGTTCGTGGAGATTGCACTTCTGAAGTAAAGTCACAGCAGGTGTCTGAACAGAGGTTTGGATGGAGCAGGTCTTTGGACGGCCGAGTGCATTCATATAGAGTCAGCTGCTCTTTCTGAAAGCGTTTATGGAGTGTAGAGAGATTTTCACCTCTATTTCCGCTTTCTTCAGAAATGGAAGTTAAGGTCGCTCTCTCTCAGCACATGAATACTTCACGCTGTATCTCCAGCTCACAGCTTGAGTCTCTTCTTCTTTGGGCTCCATTTTTGTTGAACTTAAAAAAAAAAACCATTCTTAAAAGAGATGCAATCATGAATTTTTCCTTTGATAGATTTTCACTATCATCTTTCAAAAAGTGATCTCTACCTGAACATCATAACATATATATATATATCAATGACTGAATTTTCATTTTTAGGTGAACTATCCCTTTCAGAACAACAAACCACTAAACAATAATCAAGTCTTTGGTTGTTTTGTTCAGCACTAGTTACTTGATCTAAGAATACTTTTTATAGTGCACTGAAAAATGGTTTTGTGGCTCAAGGCGCCTCTTCCCAGCATTCACCAGTGCATGATTTATTATGAAAATGGTTGCGTTGTTTGACAGTTTCGTTTACATTTGCTCTTGATTTTGTTGTCGTATTTAGTAACGTATTGTTCTGTAATATTTGTTTCTCTGCTCAAAATCTGTTTTTTTTTTGTATCTCAGTTGATTGTTAGCCTTGTCATGTTTCATGCATCCAGTGTTGAGGTCTGTGTGTGGAATTATTATTTATTTTTTGTCTCATAAGTATTATGTGATGAATGTGCATGTAAAAAAGCAAGCATTTCTCATAGAACATAACTTCTATATGCACTTCTATATCAGGCTGAGAAAATACAGAACAATGTAAAGTTATTTAAATGTTGTTGATTTTTCCGATCGCACAACTTTAATGAATAAACATTAACTAACAATGAGCAATGTTTATTAATCTTTGAAAGCGGTGGTTAAAAATACAGCTGTTCATTGTTAGTTCATGTCAGCTATCCATTAAATAATATTTACAGATACAACTTTAGATTATAATAATGTTTTAGTCAATGTTGAAGTTAACATCAAATAAGTTTAATAAATGCTTTAGAAGTCATTTATAGTACAGTAGTTATCTAATGTTAACAAACGGATCCTTATTGTATAGTATTAACAACATTTTACTTGATCAAAATAAGCCAAATGGCAAATTTTAGATCATGGCAATTGAAGGTTTTCAGTTCATTCAAGACACTGTACACACGTACTGATTTTTATAAAGTGAACGTAAGAATAACTTTGATAATGTTAGTAATATTTCAAGGTGAATTCTTACTGGACTGAAGCAGCTTTGCTTTAATTACTTGATAAAATCATGTTCAAATGTGAGTCTCAAATCTGATCATCAGGATCTTTTGAGGAGCGTTTATTTGTTCATCTCTCAGTCATCATTATATTGCATTGCGTTATATGTTTGGATCATCAAACTAAGCATTTAAATCTCATCATATTACTAAAGCATATTATTGGAGATATAGAGTGACGACTTATATTTATGTAATTTTATGTAAGTATCTGCTATATGGTTATAAAGATCTCACTGATTTACATTACAAGTATCAGAGTGTCCCTGAATACAAATGAGTTTATCTCCCCTCCATATTTTTACTATATCATATTATATGAGCCATGATGTATCTGATGTATCAAAAACAAAACATAAACATATATGCAAACTTTTACATTTTGTCTAAAGGTTCAATAAACCGTTCCATTAAAAAAATATAGATTCTACTGACTATATGTCTTAACAGGGTTAATAATATGGTAGTACAATAATTTTTTATTATAGTATAATATTTAATCTCAGTGAGCACTCTGCAAGTGAGACATTTATTTAACAGCATCACAAGTGGATAATCCAGTGTGTGTGTGTGTGTGTGTGTGTGTGTGTGTGTGTCTGTCAGGTAACTCATGCACCAAAGCTGGAGCAGCAGGGTCAGCTCTTGGGCCAGTTTGATGAAAAGGCTTTTCTATCCAGTAAGCAGCTGAAGGCAGGTGAGGATCCGTACAGAGAACATGCGTTCAACCTGCAGGAGAGCGACCGACTGGGCAGCGAACGCGCCATCAGAGACACACGCCACTATCGGTAACGTTGCCATTTATTACATATTTGGGCTCATTTAATTGAGCATTCAGCTACCAATAGGAATGTAGTACTCTAAACTCTGTTTAACATTTACCGTGTGCAAATACATTCCTTATGGCTGTGCGGTGAGCTACAGTAGATTTAATATTGTCCTGCTGTGTGCTCAGCCGTGACAATGAAAGCCCTGATCCGCCCTGTGTATTTACTGCATTCACAGATGTGCCTCCATGACCTTTGACCCTGACCTGCCGCCCACCAGCATCATCATCACTTTTCACAATGAGGCGCGCTCCACCCTGCTGCGCACTATTAAAAGGTGACAGCCTACACTGCATTGAACACACAGAGCTGTGCTGGACAGCAGCACTTATACACATAAAGAGAAAACTCCGTCTGATTCCACTGAAGAACCTGCAACTGCTTCCTTAAAGAGCTGGTTCTGCCTGATTTAACACAAAACAATGTATATAGGCAGATTGAGCGATAGGGCTGCAACACGTTCTTTTTGATAATCGATTAATCTAATGATTATTATTACACGGCTGCCTGAAATACTCAATCTGATTGGTCAGTCGTGACATTCTGAGGTATATTACGTAACGGATAATGATGTACATTATCCCGCTTATTACACAGCTACTTGCCACATAAGTAAATATAGATTATAAAAATAGATAGATTATAGATTATATAAATGGATCTGTAAATTAGACCTGAAATATTGATTTGAGTTGAAATATTTGAATGCAAAGCTTCCGTGAAAACAGCAGTTGCGAGCAAGCAGCAAGTTCAAACTAGACAGACATTTAAGAAATATGGTGCAGTCATACCACTTATTACACAACATTTCACCAGATAAATAATTTAGGCAATAAAAGATACTGATTTAAGATGAAACTGTTTTGAAATCTTACCAGGTTGTTAGTTATCTTATAATCCATTACAGTGTACAAAACAATCATCGCAAAATTACAGCAGCTGCGTTTGTATGAAACAAGAGAGCGAGTCCACGATACCAGGATGACATAATAAAATAATTCTACACATAATATTGAATTGGGTTTTAATATTTTATTAGCTCACCAAACGCAAAGCTTCCACGAAGAATAACTGTTCCTAGCAAGCGTATAGCGCCGAGTTCAGTTACCCGGATGAGCCTGTGTTATCCATAGATATGTATAGGGGTGTCAAACTTAATTCCTGGAGGGCCGGAGCCCTGCAGAGTTTAGAGTCAACGCTAATTAAACACACCTGATCCAACTAATCAAGTCCTTCAGGCTTATTTGAAAACTACATGGTATGTGGGATTGGAACAAAACTCAGCATGGCTCCGGCCCTCCAGGAATTGAGTTTGACACCCCTGGTATAAATACATTCTATACATATCTATGATGTTATCAGCTTTTTCCCGTTGTTATCGAGGAATAGCATAACTCGGAATGTCACGACTGACCAATCAGAATCAAGTATTCCACAGAGCCGTGTAACAATCCGCGATGACAACCTTCATCATTAGCAACGCAGAATAACACATGCTCTTACGGCCAGCGCTTCTTTCACATCTCTCATATCACACCGCCATTCATTCAAACGCAATTGCTGTCATCTTTACTGTTATTGGCTGTATTTACTGTAAAATGAAACGGGACGACTTCAATGTTAACAGTAGGCTTGCAGTAGTATTGTTAAAAGTGTTTGTCTTGTTGCTAGAACAATCGTTTTGTATACTGTAATGGATTTAAGATAATAAACAGTAGGGCTGCACGATTATGACAAAGATCATAATTGTCGATTAATCCCTTGAAATTATTAATTACGATTATCACAACTTACATTGAATGATGTTTATACCATTGTTTAATGCAACTGCATGCCGTATTTTTATATGAAAATAAACCAGCTGAAAACACTCTAACTGAAAAACCTTTAGTGCTTTTCTGTAGTATTAAGCCTCAAATGTCAAATATACATCGGATTGGTTTCTTCTTTAAATTATAAAAAAAGAAAGAATATGAATGGTATTATAATGTTATACTAAAACGAAAACAATGGAAAAACCCTTACGATAACACGTAGAAAGAAAAAAACATATCTTAAGCACACAGAATAACATGAGTGGACTTTGAACGATTAATTGCCACTTTGAACGATTACGTAATTGTGGCATTCATAATTGTAATCGCGATTAGAAATCCGATTAATTGTGCAGCCCTAATAAACAGGTAAGATTTTAAAATGCTTTCGTCTCAAATAACATTTTACGCCCTCATCTTTATGTAATTATTGATACGACTGTACATTATGACTTAAATGTCCATCTTGTGTGAACTTCTAGGCTCACAGCCATTTGTTAGGACCTGTTTTTCTTTGCAGAAGCTTTGCGTTTAAAGAGCTAATAAAATATTCCAACTCAAATCAATAATTTTGGTCTAATTATTTACTTATGCGGCAAGTATCCGTGTAATAAGTAATGTAACTTACAGAGCTGGTGCAAACATATCCACATCGCTGTGATCAGCTGCTTTCGTAACTGCTGTTTTCCCACACTGTCATGTTTGTTGTGTTTATTTAGTTATTGAGAGGAAAGCGCGCAGCAGATATTTACATATTCATCTAAGCGCCGATCTCAGTAAACCGTGTCGAGCTTCTTCTTGCTCCTAACCAAAGAATGAAAAAAGAACTTCGCCATGAGTGTATCGGGGCCTTTTCATATGGCAGCATTTTTTTTGCATTTTTGTAAAACTTTCATGTACTCGACTGGTTCGGCTTTGTTTGCTCTTCTCATAAGTCAAAGATATTATTTAAAGGGGTCTTCTTCTATTGGATTGCTTCCGGGAAATTATTTACTTATGCGGCAAGTATCCGTGTAATAAGTAATGTAACTTACAGAGCTGGTGCAAACATATCCACATCGCTGTGATCAGCTGCTTTCTTAACTGCTGTTTTCCCACACTGTCATGTTTGTTGTGTTTATTTAGTTATTGAGAGGAAAGCGCGCAGCAGATATTTACATATTCATGTAAGCGCCGATCTCAGTAAACCGTGTCGAGCTTCTTCTTGCTCCTAACCAAAGAATGAAAAAAGAACTTCGCCATGAGTGTATCGGGGCCTTTTCATATGGCAGCATTTTTTTTGCATTTTTGTAAAACTTTCATGTACTCGACTGGTTCGGCTTTGTTTGCTCTTCTCATAAGTCAAAGATATTATTTAAAGGGGTCTTCTTCTATTGGATTGCTTCCGGGAGGGCTAAATACAGTCTTGCTCTACAGTCAAACTACATCATTGCAGGAGCGACTAATCGACAGCAAAAACATTTGTCAGCAAGTTTTTATTGTTGCCGTTGTCAATAATGTCGACTAATCATTTCGTCCCTATTCAGTTATGTTAAAGGGGTCATATGATGCGATTTCAAGTTTTCCTTTCTCTTTGGAGTGTTACAAGCTCTTGGTGCATAAAGAAGATCTGTAAAGTTGCACAGACATGGTTTTATGTTTACACAGCGCGATGCAATGCAACACATAAAAAGACAGTATAAGTCATTATAATCCATAATTATGTCTCCACTGGATGCAACAAATGCGTCGTTTGTAATGGGTTTTAATGTTTTTTTCTCGTCGCTCCGGCCGGGACAAGGCATCACAGTATGGTGAGGGGCATAACATTTCCGTCACACGCTTGAGGTATTCGGCCAATCACAATGCACTGGATAGCTGGCCAATCAGAGCACACCTCGCTTTTCAGACCGATGAGCTTTGTAAAAATCTACGCGTTTCAGAAAGGCGGGGCATAGAGGAGAAACAATAATTTACAGTATGTGGAAAATAATGTTTTTTTTTAACCTTAAACCGCATAAACACATTTCATTACACCAAATACACAAAATAATGTTCTTTTTAGCAGCATCATATGAGCCCTTTAAATAATATCTTTGACTTAAATAAAACCAGTTAATATAGATGTTACCATTATTAGGTCACCTTGTTATTTCAGTGTATCTCAAACTGACTCTACAGTACATCATTTCAGTGTCATTTCTGTATTTTACAGTGATGGCCAAAATGATTAGAACACTAGTATTTTCACCAGCTAAAAAATGGTTTTAAGTCAGTTATTTCTATCTTTTGCTGTAGTGTGTCAGTAGGAAATATCAGTTTACATTTCCAAACATTCATTTTGCCATTAATTGTAATAATCCATTGAGATTTTTGACAACAGAGTCTGACAACAGCCAGTGCTCCACACAGAGGTCTGATCTCACCATCATCCAGTCCGTCTGAAATGACATGAAGAAACAGCACAAACTCAGACAGACTAAATACAGAAGAACCATGGCAACGTCTCCAAGATGCTTGAAGAAACCATCCTGCAAAGCTACAAAACTGTTAAACGTTTTAGGCACGTGTGTAAAAATGCTCAGTTTGTTCTGTTTCTTCATGTCATGCATGCAGAGTTTGAGGTATCAGTCATGAGTGTAGTAACAGTGCAGGACACATTACACACTGAAGTTTAATACTTAGTGTTAGTGAGTTGAACAAACCCCAAACCCTAAGTGAGCCCTGACTAATAGTAGCTACAATAGTAGTTGCTGCATTGAGCTTATTTTTTTTTCTGTACCACACGTTATTATATTAGCTTTATTATAGTGCATTTATCTTTTTTATCCTGTTGTTTATCCTGTTGTTTTTGTTTCAGTGTACTGATGAGAAGCCCACCTCACTTGATACAGGAAATTATTCTTGTGGATGACTTTAGCTCCAACCGTAAGTAGAGCTTCATTTCATTGCAACACACACACACATTTGAAAGTAGTGAATGATGACAAAGTGTTTCCTGTGTATGTATGTGCTCATATTTGACGTCTGAGGATACATTAGCTGTGGAGGTCTTTGTAAATATTGCTAATTTTCTGTACATCAGTGAGCCAAGACTAAACCCGGCCCTGCTATTGCCATGGTGAGGAAACAAACGGCACAATCAGAAGTGTAGCTCTGCTGTTATTGATGTTGTGGAGCGTTAAAGAGAGACGTGATTTTTCCCTTTACCGAGATCATGTGTTGAGCTCAGGCGGCCCTTTATGCTCTCCTTTCTTTGGCATGAGGAACACATGCACTTCACAAAACACACACACACACACACACACACACACACATGCTGACAATGAGATAAGAACGCTCTGCTGTTGCCAAAGATGTTTCAAGAGTTCAAGTCTCATTAATTTCAGGTTTCTGAACTAAAATACTGGAAGACCCTTCATGAGCCAGTTAAATTCTGGTTAGATTTGCCTGTCTAGAATGCGTTGTTATTATTGCATGCTGTTTTATAATGTACTACAACACACTGAAGTGCAATTATCATCTGCCGCTATTTGCACTAAGCCATTCTTTAAAACTAAAAAAGTCCTCTAACCTCAGACATGTCCAAAGATTAGAAGTTGTGCGTTTAATTCAAAGATAGTTCATGTAAAGTTCATGCCACTGTGTATTAATTTAATTTCAGCTAGTCAGGCTCATGTAGTCAATATCTTGAACTATATATTGCATTTTGTTATCAGAGTATACATTCAGTGCTCCTTACATCTTGATGGAGTGCAGCTCTGAGTTTATTCGGGGTTGTCGGTAGACCGGAAAGCTCTGCAATAATTTAAATGAGCTTTCAGTTTGTTGCTGAATAAACTACAATACGCGCCAGGTTTTATCTGCAATACTACGCTTGATTTATAGTGCAGATTGTAAATCTAAATGATTTCATTACTGACAAAAATGACCTGGCACATGGCAATAAAAAGGCAAATTTATAAATATACCCTTCTTTGTTGTTAATTCATGTTAATTAATGATATTTTATACAACTTAAAATGTAAAGAAATTGTTGTTAGAAATGAACCTAGATTAACTTGTGAGATATTGTACTGGTATCGCTACAGGAACGCCTTTTCACCATTTGTATCACTCCGCTTCCCGTATTTCTCACTGCGAGTGTCATGGTGTACGCCCAAATCCACTAAAATGTAAAAAATAATACTGTTTTTGTGTGACGGAATGTAGTTTTAAGAGTTTTTTAGGGGAGAATGTACTTGTTTAGACTTCAAATATGCGGTTTGTTAATAAAGATAATGTCTATTTGAAAATTTGCTTCGACACTTTTGGAGACACCCTTCAGCGCTCATGAACCCGCTGAGAGCAGCCTTACCTCGGCCAGATCTTCTGGAATTTGCTGCTGGCTCTGATGTCTCTATACGCAGTGGTTCTCAACAGGGGGGCACGGAGAGATCGGAAGGGGAGCGCAAATGGTTTTCAAGAAAAAACAGAGACGAGGCATTATTTGGGTAATCGTACTTTTTGCATTTTATTGCGTTTCAAGAAGAATATACACAAGTAGAAAAACCCCGCTCGGCTTGGAAAAAACCCCTGCTCTGCTTGAAAAAAAAACAAAAATGTACTCGGTTACTAATGGAACCTCTGTTCCCTGAGATACGCATGATGTGTGTAGAGGATTGCTCAAGTCTGATCGTTCACCCCGCAAGCTCGTCGTTGCTTCCTCCGAGGTAGCTGGGAGGAGAGAAACATGAGCGCGGGGAGGCAGGGCCACCTTCCGCGAACGAATGGGGGCAGACTGCTTTCGTGGTAAAGCAGCCCGTGTCTGTGAGTGCAGCCATAGTGACACACACACAAATTTGAAGCTGTCAGCGGCAGCATCTGCTCCGATCTACTGTGGAGGATAGAGCGGCTCGATGTAAAGAGGGGCACTGATCCTTTTGCGTGAGACACGGATCGAAGTGCAGCGGGGAAAGCAAGTACGCAGGCTCTGTGTCGGCATGAGATTGCTCAGACCTGGTTGCTTAGTTCCCAGGCTTCGTCGTTTCTCTCTCCGAGACTTGCTGAGAGAGGAAAAACGGAAGAGCGGGACTGTCTCCAGTGGAGGCGGTCCACGAGTGGAGAAGAGCGAGACTCATGCTTGAGTGAGCATTTTGTCTCAGTAAGCGTGTAGCTCACTGCACTTCTGCGGCAGATCAGAGTACAACGGGGAGAGCGAGCACGCGGGTACAGTGCCGGCATGCGATTGCTCAGATGGCTCAGATCGCTTGATGAGACAACTGATGTTGCAGGGCTAGCACAGTTACCTATGTCAGATATGTCAAAAATGGTAATATTGAGGAGGACATTCTTTTCTGTCGGTCTCTTCCAGATCACACAACTGGCAAGGCATTGTTTGAAGTTCTGGATGGATATATACGGGATGCAGGCATATCATGAGATAAATGTGTTGGGATTAGCATGGACGGGGCCATTCAATGACTGGGAGGATTAGCGGTCTTGTCACTCATGTCCAGAATTTAGCTCCTTTAGCCAAGTGGACCCACTGTATGATTCATTGTGAATCTCTCGCATCAAAACAAATGCCTGAGTCTCTTAAAGCCGTTTTAAAGCAGGCAGTGCAAATTGTCCATTTCATTAAAGCTTGGCCATTAAATGCACGCTTGTTTTCCTTGCTTTGTCAGGAAATAGGAGCAGAACACGAGCAGCTCCTTTTTCACACTGAGGTTCCCTGGCTCTCCAGAGGTCGGGTTTTACATCGCCTCTACGAATTGCGTTCAGAGGTGAAGACATTTCTTGTTAATGTGAAGTCCGACCTTGCGCGGTACCTGGATGACCCCCTGTGGTTAGCGCAGTTGTCGTACCTTGTAGACATTTTCGACAGGTTGAATTCGCTGAACACATCGATGCAAAGGAGAGATGCCAACATCTTGCTCCTTTCAGACAAAGTCAGTGCATTCATTGGCAAACTGGATCTTTGGAATGATCGGCTGATTAATAAAAATGTTGACATGTTTCCCAACTTTGCCGACTTTATGCAAGAGACCGGGATAAATACCTCTCCTTTGATTAACACAGTCGCTCAACATGTTGAGGGACTAAAACAACAATTCGGCCGTTATTTCACTGAGGATTTCAGTTAATTTGCTTCGGTCAGAGATCCCTTCAGTTGCCCAGGAAAAGACCTTCCAGTTGACATGGGGGAGCAGTTAGTCAAATTAAAGAGCGACACTAGATTGCGACACCTCTACAGCTCTTCCTCTCTGCCGTCATTTTGGTTGAGCGTGATGCCTAAATATACTCGGTTATCTGACGCCGCTGTAAAATTACTTCTTCCATTCACCTCAACATATCTGTGCGAGGCCGGGTTTTTAATATTGGCGGCTTTGAAAACAAAGTACCAAAATCGGCTCCAGGTGGAGGATGACCTGAGGCTTGCGCTGTCCAACATTGAACCACGAATTGCGCTTCTTCGTAAAAAGAAGCAAGCACAGGTATACCACTGATTGATTTAACGATGCCATTGCTAATTAGACGCAGATGCGCCCTGCGTCCCAATTTGCATATTATCCGCCCTAAATAGTATTGAATATTATTTAGGGCTGATAATATGCAAATGCTTGTAGAATGCAACGAACGAATGGAATGCAACATGTTTTACACGTGAAATAATACTTACACGTTATATAGAGTTTACACATTACAACCTATAGGCTTTAAGTTCTCTTGTTCAAAGTAGTTACAATTTTCAGAAACATTCTTGATCATTTTTGGCCACGTTCCATAACTATCTAGCTATCTGTCCTTTTATATAGTTTTATAAAACTATATAGTTATTTTAAAAATCATAAAAGTTATGAAAAAGTTTTTTAAAAAGGTACAAAAATACAAAAAAAGTTTAAAAAAAAATCTATCTAAATAAAATATAGGATTTATATAGATAGATTTTATCAAGTTAATCATTATTCCTGGTCTCCTTCAAATATATATGG